CAGTGTCACTGGCCCTCATATGTGGGATCCGAACTGGGGCCCTCTGGCGTCCCAAGCCAGCTCTTAACCAACGCGCCACTCGGCCGGCCCGAATTTTTGCTCTTTGACAATGGCTATGAGATAGCAGTTCTCCTTGTCCTTTGATTTGTAGATTTTAAAATAATCTGCTTTTTGGCCTGTTCCAGATCTCCTGCCATGAATATGTTTGCTTCAAGTCACGAGAAACAAACAATAAAAGTGGGTTTGTGTGTTTTCTTGTGTATTGTGTGTGTTTGATGAGGGTGACTAAGGCCAAGTAGTGAGGGAAAATTCTGGGAGGTTTGGGGCTGAGCCAGGTAGAGGGAATGGCCTGACCCCAGTCTGTGTGCTCTGTTTACCTCCACCCTGGTTCAGCCTTCAGTAGGAATGCAGGGTTCTGACCCACTGAGCTCATCACTGGCTGTCTGCCGGCCCCACTACTCCTCCCAGCTTGGCCACAGGACTGGCAATGAGGTCATTGGCTAAAGATGTTTCTTTTTTATTTAGATTTTTTTTTTAATTGGGGAATTGGGGAAGGGGGACAGAAAAGTTGCTCTCCTTTTGTTCTTCAGTCTAGTTGTGGAGGATGTCGCTTCATTGGCCCATGTTGGTATTATCATTGCGCTCTTCCCGGGTGAGGTAGATTGGTCACCGGCCACTGGACGGCTGCTCACAGCAGCTCTTGGCAGCTCACGCCAGCTGCCAGCCGCTCACGCTGGCTGCTGGCCACTCACAGTAGCTTTACCACGGCACACTGCTGTTCCACTGCAGCCTATGCTGTTGCCAGGGACTCACGGCAGCCCAGCTCCAGGTCTAGCTGTTGTTCACTATCCTAGCTATAGAGGGCTCAGCGTCACTGGCCCTAATGTGGGATCCGAACCGGGACCCTGCTGCTCAGAGCTGGCGTCCCAAGCCAACTTCTAACCGATGAGCCACTCGGCCGGCCCCTAAAGATGTTTCAAAGGGGAGCCAGGTAGGTCTGGCTGCCAGCATTCCAGAATTTTGGTGAAGTGGAAATTGCCATGGAGCTAACATGTCCCTGTCCCCAGGGATTCCCTAGGCCCTCATTTGTGCTGTGTCCCCTTGAAAAGTTCCAGGAATAAAATGAACTAATTACTGGTCATGATCATAAGGTGACAGGTGCCCACTCATGAGTCAGCAGCTTCACTCTTGGATATGCACAGTGAAATACCGTACAGCAAGGAAAAATGAAAAATTGCCAGACAGAAAAGAATGCACTGGTTCCGTTACAACATGTTGGAAAACAGGCAAACTCACCTATGGTAACAGAGGTGGGCACGACTAGTATTCAGGGGCAGGGAGAATGATGGGAGAGGGTCCAGGGTGTTCCTGGGCTGGGAATGTTCTGGAAATTGATCTGGAAAGTGGTTCCACAGGGATACCATTGTAAAATGTCATTGAACTGAACACATAAGACTAGTCTTTTTTCCTTATGAAAGTCCTATCTCAAAGCTTAAAAATAAAAAGGCAGAGGCTATGAGGAAACATTCTGGCAACTCCTCAAAAGGTTAAACACAGGATGATGACATGACCCAGCAATTCCACTTCTGGGTGTCTCCCCCTCAAAATTGAAATCAGGTCCTCAAATCTTTGTATATGAATGTTCATAGCAGCCCTATTCAGAATTGACAAAAGGTGGAAACAACACAAATGACTATCAATGGATGAATGGATAAACAAACGGCGGTGTATTCATACAATGGAATATTACTCAGTCATAAAAGGGAATGAAGCGCCGACAACATGACTGAACCTTAAAAACAGGCTGAGTGAGAGAAGCCAGACACAAATGGCCACATAGTATGTGATTCCATTTATATGTGTGAATAAGAAATATATATTTGGTCTTCTATGCACCACTCGGCTGGCCCATGAGTTTATTTACTTACTTATTTATTTGTTTGTTTGTTTATTTATTTATTTATTTATTTATTTATTTATTTATTTAATTGGGGAACAATGTGTTTTTCCAGGACCCATCAGCTCCAAGTCGAGTAGTTGTTTCAATCTAGTTGTGGAGGGCGTAGCTCAGCGGCCCATGTGGGGAGCAAACCGGCAAGCTTGGTGTTGTGAGCACTGTGCTCTAACCAACTGAGCTAACCAGCCACCCCCTGATTTTTATCTTTTAATATCCTTTGTAATAAATCGATAACCTAGTGAGTAAATGGGTTTCCAAAGTTCTCTGATCTGCTCTAACAACTGAATCTAATCCAAGGAGAGGGTCTTAGTAATTTTCAATTTATAGCCAGTAGGTCAGAAGCACAGGTAACAACCTGGACTTGTGATTGGCATCCGAAGGGAGTGGGGTGGGGCAGTCTTATAGGACTGAGCCTTGATCCTATGGGATATATATAATGTTGTCTCCAGGTAGATAGGGTCAAAATTAGATTGAATTATAGGACAACCAGCTGGTGTGGGAGAATTGCTGGTGTGAGAAACCCCTTCCCCTACACTGGAAACGGTGCAGAATTTTTATGTAGAATGTCCAGAATAGGCAAATCCATTGACAAAAAGCAGATTAGTGGTTGCAAGGGGCTGAAGAAGGGGGAATGGGGAGTGACTGCTCATGGGGTCAGGGTCTCCTTTTGGGGTGATGGAAACGTTCTGGAAAAGATGATTGTATAACATTGTAAACGTGCTAAATGCCACCGAATTGTTCACTTTCAAATGTTGACTTTCCTGTTAATTTTCTGTGGAGCCTCCTACCAGGGAGGCATGAGAAGCCATCCAGTGATAGCCCCCAGGAGGTCTAGGGAGGTGAGTGAAGAGGGCTTCAGAGAACCTCCCACCTGCCCCAGGTTGCACTTTTTGGCTCTTTGGCCCTTTCTCCTCTACTTTGTTTTTTAACATCTTCAGCCTTTGGTCCTAACCAAATAGGGGAGAGAGGGAACCGCATGGGGGAAGAGGGCCACTTCTTAAGCTCTTGCTATATAGAGTTTGGCACCTACTAATTAAGTCCTCTTTGAGAAAATCGTTCTTCTTACCAGCCCACCAAGCTGGAATGATATCCCCATTTCACAGAAGAGGATACTGAGGCTCAGAGGCACTCCTGGGTGTGTGTGTGGGGGGGTCCCCCAGCTTCCCCAGGAGCACCACCCCCAAATCACCTCCTCCTGAAAAACATCCTCAGACCCTGCCCAGCTGTGGTCCCTGGAGTGTTTACTGTGCACCCACGTCAGGCGGGACCAGGCAGGCGGGGGCGGACAAAGTCCGAGGACTATAAAGGCCCGGCTAGCAGCGTCCGGTCAGTCCCAGCTCAGAGCACAAGAAGCACAGCCATGCCCGGGCAAGGACCCACGACACCGCGCTGTTGCATGATGGTGCTGATGCTACTGACGCTCTCACGGCTGCCATCAGAAGACGCCTTATCTCTGGCCCAGGAGCACCTCCAGTCCTTCCCAAAACCCTCAGACATACACTCCAGTCCGAATGTCTCCAGATTCCAGGAGTTGCAGAAACGCTTCGAAGATTTGCTGACCAGGCTTCAAGGGAACCAAACCTGGGAAGACTCGAACCCTGACCTCATCCCTGCTGTTCACGTCCAGATACTCATCCCAAAGTGTGAGTGAAATCTCAGACACACACCCCCACCGCGTGCCCAGGCAGCTCCCCTCATCTAATCAGTGGTTCTGAGTCATAGAGCATGCCGCCGAGCCTCCGTTTCCCCATTTGTGAGCTGGGCAAGAACGTCCCCCACTCGGGGCTGATGGTGGAGCTGTTTGCGTCCGGACGAGGCAAGTCTTAGCCAACGTGAGATGTTACAACTTCTTGGGTAGCAGATGGGGAAATTGAGGCCGAGAGAAGCCAGCGACTCTCCAGAAGGCTCACAGAGTTGGGGGAGCCAAGAGATGAGGTCCGGCAAGGGGCGCGGCCCCTGACCTTGGGGTTGAGGGTGGGTGGGATCCAAGAGGAAGGATGTAGGGGCGGGCAGGAGAGGGGGGNTCAGCCTGAGGGATCTTGGGGAGAGAGCAGGGTAAGCTTATTGGAACATGAGACATCAAAGCTAGAGTTGAAGAGATAAATAGGAGTTTGCAGTAGGGGCTGTCCTTTCCAGACTTTCCTGGGCATATCTGAACCCAACTCTGGCTAAAGTTGAGACATCATTGCCCAACCACCTATAATAATAATGGTTATTCTAAAATATTGAGATTGTAGCTCTAATCAAGCCTTATCTAATCAGTGCTGTTCTATAAGGGGTAATACTGAGAAATTGAGGTTTGGAGATATTAAAAAGGAACAACAGTGTCACAATGGAGTCATTCTTACTAAGCCCTACCAAGACTTAATACCTAACCTAATTGTATTATAGTTTCAGCCTCTACCAGGAGCAAAATTTTAAACCAATCAATCGGGAGTTTCCTGGTCAGCACTAGGGAGGTCATCTGCTTGACAAGACCGCCTGTCTTCCCCTAGGGCAGCGTTCTCAACCTGTGGGTCGCAACCCCTTTGGGGGTCGAACGACCCTTTCACAGGGGTCGCCTAAGACCATCAGAAAACAAAAAGATACTTACATTACGATTCATAACAGTAGCAAAATTACAGTTATAGAGTAGCAACGAAAATAATTTTATGGTTGGGAGTCACCACAACATGAGGAACTGTATTAAGGGGTTGAGGCATTAGGAAGGTTGAGAACTGCTGCCCTAGGGGAAGGTAACCTTGCCTGAAATCATCCACTCTTTTTTTTTTTTTTTTTAATCATTTAATCTTAACTTTCTTGTCCCTCCCCATTTCTGCCTATAAAAGCCTTCTATTTTGTACAACTCCTCG